CCCCGACCCCCTCTCAGCCGAGCCCAATATTCCACTCTGAACAAAAACAAGTCTGCAGAAGCCATCAGCTCCAGCCGGGCCTGGCTCACGGCCCACCCCCCTGCCCACGCCCCACACCTCAGGCGGGGCCGACCCCTCCCAGCCAGGGGCGAGGGGTGATGGGGGGCAGCAAGGCCAGCCTGCATGGGGGAGTGGGGAGGCAGAGGTGCTCAGACGGACAGACGGGCGACCCTCACTCCAGACAGGGCGGGTTTGTGAGGGAACGGCCAGAAAAACACAGCAAAGGAGCCATCACCACCCCGGGCTCTTGGGGTCAGGACCCTTTGAGGGAATTACCCCCCCACCCCACCCCCACGAGACACTGGCCACAAGGGGGAGCCCAGGCCGGCTCGCTCGGTCAAGGGTGGGCAGTAGGTGAGCCTGCCGCGTGGGGGCACTGCCCCCCCCAAGTACAGGGGCTGCCCTGGTTGGGGGGTGATGGAGCAGGGTTGGGGGCAGGGTGCTCAGGGGGTACTGTGCTGTGGCTGACCCCCACACACACCCGTCTGTCTGTCTGCGTCTCTCCACACCTGTCCCCCTCTCCCATTTTTCCATCCAGCCCCCATCTGGGTTTCTCATCAGCCCCACGTTTACGGCCCTGTTGTGAAGGCGGGAGCCCCATTCCCCCCCCCCCATTGTTCCATTCGGCATCTGGCATCCATTAATATCCCCAGCAGGACAGAGTGAGACGGAGACCAGAGCCCTTGGTGCAGGGCACTGCCATAGGGAAGCTTGCAGCACTGGGAGATCTCCAGCTGGGGGCACTGCTCCAGGGAAGTTTGCCGCGCCAGACTCCCCGGCTGGGGGCACTGTTGTGAGGGAGGCTCACAGCACCGGCGTCCCCGGCTGGGGGCACTGTTGTGAGGGAGGCTCACAGCACCGGCGTCCCCGGCTGGGGGCACTGTCGTGGGGAAGCTCGCAGCACCGGAGAACAGGCAGGGGAGGGGAACGTTAGCCCCTGGCAGAGGGGATCCAAGCCCCCCCACACAAACACTCTCAGGGCCCATCTCAGAGCCACTTCCCCACCCGGGGTCTCCCGGCCCCCCGCCGAGCTCGGCGCTGGCCCAGCCCCAGCCGGGAGCGCTGGCAGCCAGGCCGCGCCAGCCGCACAGAGACACCTTTCTTCTGGCTGCCAGGCGGGCGCGAGGAAAAGCCATTAGGGCTGCATAGCACAACTCCCCAGGGAGGGGTGGGGCAGGAATGGGGGAGGGGAGCCCCAGAGCCAGGGCTGGAGCGGGGGGGGGGTCTGATGGAGGAGACGCTAGAGGAAGAGGGGGTGGGGGTCAAGGAGGGGTGAAGGGGGGATATTGGCTGTAGAAAGAGGTGAGGGGAGAAGGGCCAGGACCGGGGGGGCAGGAGGGAGAGGGCTCCGGGGTGGGGGTCACAGTGTGAAGTCGGGGTCAGGGGAGGGGTTGTTCAGGTAGAGGAGGAGAAGGAGGGAGGGGTGGGGGGGGTCAAGTGGAGTGGGAGGGGCCAGACAGGAGAGGTCACAGTGCGGGGTCAGGGGAGGGGGGAGCAGAGGAGAGGGGAAATGGGGGCAGGAGAAGGGGGCAGAAGGGAGGGGAAATGTGGGGCAGCTGGAGGGGGCAGAGGGTGGGAAGTGGGGTGTCAGGTGGAGGGGGAGCAGAGGGGAGGGGAAGTGGGTGACAGGAGGAGGGCAGAGGGCGGGAAGTGGGGGACAGGAGGGGGGCAGAGGGCAGGAAGTGGGGGCAGGTGAAGAGGGGCAGAGGGCGGGGGAAGTGGGGGGCAGGTGGTGGGGAAGTGGAGGGGGAGGGGGAGGGGAAGTGGGAGACAGGAGGAGGGGCAGAGTGTGGGAAATGGGGAGCAGGTGGAGAGGGGCAGAGGGGGGAAAGTGGGGGGCAGGGGGAGGGGACTGGGCATCAGAGAATGGGCCCTTTATACGAGTCACTTCCTCTGTTTGAACCACAAGTTCCCCAGCACGGGGGGCCGTGTGGGGCTGTGGGGGACTTGGGACCGGACAGGGTCACCTGATCCTGCCGGCGACCGCACAACCCCCAGCGTCCCCCGTCCCCCCAAGCTGCCCTGGCTCCCCCCAGCCGTGCCCCCCCCCCATCGCTCCCCATGGCCCTGCTGCAGGCTTGGCAGGGACGGGACATATTTGCAGCAAGACACAGGGACCTGCCAATCCAGCGGCACCTGGGAAAGCAATTAACTCCCCACCCCGCACCTGCTACTCCCAGGCACCAGCCCCACAGCTGCACTGCCCTGGGGGGCCAGGGTCCCTGCACAGCCCCATGGGGGGATCTCTGGGGCACGGGGCCCTGAGCATCTGCTGGGGACGCGTGGGAGGCTCTGCCCCAAACCAGCTGGAGCTGAGCGGCCTCGGTCCCCACTCCTGAGAATCCAGCCACGGCTCATCCCACCGTCTGAGTGTGTCTGTCTGTCCTGATCCCCGGTCACCCCATGTCTGTCCTGGCCCCAGGTCACACTGTGTCTGTCTGTCTGTCCTGGTTCCAAGTCACACAGTGTCTGTCTGTCTGTCCTGTTCTCCCGGTCACACTGTGGCTGTCTGTCCTGGTTCCAGGTCACGCTCTGTCTGTCCGTCTGTCCTGATCCCAGGTCATGCTAGGTCACAGCCAATCCAACTCCACCACTACACGGATCATGCCAGCTGTCCCAGAATGCCTTGGGGCCACAATCCCATGGGCAGCCAGTGGTCCCCTCCCCCACCCCATAACTCTCACCCAACATATCCCTGCCCTCCCCACCCCACAGCGCCATCCCAGGGGGGACCCGGCACGCCCACCCCACAGCTCCATCCCGGGGGGCACCCGGCGCGCCCACCCCACAGCTCCATTCCAGGGGGGACCCGGCGCGCCCACCCCACAGCTCCATCCCGGGGGGGACCCGGCGCGGC